ATGGAAAGAGACGTTATAAATCCCGCAATTAATACGGTAACGTTCGTTATTATTTTCGTAACGTTCTCCATAATGGTAAAGCAAATGGAAAGAGACGTTATAAATCCCGCAATTAATACGGTAACGTTCGTTATTATTTTCGTAACGTTCTCCATAATGGTAAAGCAAATGGAAAGAGCCGTTATAAATCCCGCAATTAATACGGTAACGTTCGTTATTATTTTCGTAACGTTCTCCATAATGGTAAAGCAATTACGCATGTTTTAATTACAAAATTTATTACTATTCATGAAGGCAAAATTGTCTTTTCCATGAACAAAATAGCCAACAGTAATTGCCTGAGATCTCCCTAATCAAGAATTGCTCCTCATCTTGCAGCCACAAGAGACACTAGATCCACACAGCAACAAGTCCACAGTAACCAAAAAATGCATATAACGAAATCCCATACCTCTTTTTCAACATTATACACAAAAAGTTGAAAACCAAGCGGGTAAAAATTTGTGTTCTTATTCCTTACTTTGCATTTAGCAGGTTGTATATGTGCCATTTCCACAACCATCCATTTCACAAAGAAAGGGCATCATGCAAGTATTATCCATGATAAACCTATATCGACACTATATCTACCTTATAATAATTAAGCTTAAAGACTTTTGCCAAGCAATACTCTTCCAATCTGCAGATCATTTACAAGTCTACCAAAATTTTCATAAGATGATCCCTCTCTTCCTACAGCTTCCTCTGCCTTTTCTTTCCACGCCCTCGCCATCGATCTCATCTCCTTCCCCTTCTCCCCTTGCATCATCTCCCTCACAAGTCCTTCAACCTCTGCTCTTCTCACATTGCTATCTAGCTCCATTCCGATATCCCATTTGGTGCAAACATATCGACAATTTGTAGGTTGCTCGGCAAAAAAGGGCCAGCATAACATTGAAACTCCTCCACATATGCTCTCCAGTGTTGAGTTCCATCCGTTGTGGGTCAGAAATAAACCAATTGAAGGGTGGGATAACACTTTTTCTTGAGGGCACCAATTGACTATAATACCCCTACTCTCAGTTTCCTTTCTAAACTCTGCACTGAGTCCAATGCTCCCTCCAACAATATCAGGCCTGATTACCCACAGGAACAAGTTCTGGCTGTTGGCAAGACCCCAACCAAATTCTTCGAGCTGTTGCATTGTCATCACTGTAATACTACCGAAATTTACGTACACGACTGAATCTGGTTCTTGATTGTTCAACCAATCTAGGCATTGTGTGTCCTCCTTCCAAAGACTAGAGTTGATGGATTTTGATTGGTTTTCTTGTATATTGTTTACAAATGCTGGTAATGGTCCTATGGTGTATAAATGGGGACATATCTTCTTCAATTCTTCGATAACTTCATGTTCTAGTTCATCGAATGTGTTTAGGATTAGGCCTGAGGCTTTGAGAGCATTCTGTGCTTCTCCTCCATCGAAATTGAGCATGGTGTCATTGATGTCCGTGGTTCTGATGAAGCTAGGGATGTCTTTGAGGCGAACGTTCTTCATACCTGGTATCCAATCTATAGGAGTTTCCAAGTATCCGTTGCTGAGATAACTCTCATCTGCACAGAAATTATCAAACATGCATGAGCAGTACCACAGATATTTTCTATCTGAACCTGAAATTTTTTTTTTCATGAAATCTAAAATTCAATTGCTAACTGATGCAAACTACTAGCTAGCTAGTGATTAAGATATTATCAAAATATCAGATCTAGCTATAGAGAGTTCGAAAGTCATGCCCCTTTGCACTAGTTTTCTTTTTCTAGAAAAAGGGTTACCTTTCTTACGTACAAATATCAAAATTTGAATTACTAATGATGCTCAGATTCATAGAAATAAATCATCAAATTCATTTTTTATAATTCGTGACAATAGGCCTTTGGACTGTGAGAAAGAACGCCGGTTTATGTTGTAGAACATTAATATTAATCTCCAAAGTTGAGGGGTTATGATATTTGGAAAGTTAAGGGTGGTTTTCTGATAAACTCCAATGTTAAGGAGGGTTTTATGATATTTAGCCAAGAATATTAATATTAATCTAATATCAAGAGTTAAATAACTACATATTAAGGAAGAAACTTACCCTTAATAGGAACATAACCTCTCTTAATTTTATGGTATTTAGCCAAGAATATTAAATATTAATCTAATATCAAGAGTTCAATAACTACATATTAATTAAGCAAGAAATTTACCTTTCATAGGAACATACCCTCTCTTAATCAGCTCAAAATACTGAAGGTAGCCCATAAATCCACAAGCACTAGTAGTCCAAAAGACAAGCCCAAGAATACCCAACTCCTGAGCAACGCCCTGAGCAAAGCTCATAACCCCGTCAGCTACAACGCAAGTCACTCTAGGTCCTCCACTGTTGAGCCTCAACAGCAGCTCTCTAAAAGGACCCACAGAGTTCTTGGCCGTAGACACGCACAGCTCCGCTATGTCCTGCGTAACGTCCCCGTCGCCGGACGCCGGAAGCCCGTCTGGTATCGAGACGAAGCGGAAGTCCGGGAGGCCTTCGAGGGAGTTTGGGCCGCGGGAGTTGAGGAAGCGGCGGTGGTTGTAGTCGGAGTTGACGAAGGTGATGTAGAAGCCTTGGGAGTGGAGGAGCTTGGATAGGTGCATCATGGGAGTTACGTGGCCTTGTGCTGGTTGGGGGATTAGCACAGCATGTGGCCTGGTACTACTCTGAGGGGAGCCCATGTTTTGCTTGCCCAGTCGGTTGATCTGTGATACGAGCTAAATAGCAAGGGAGGCACTAGGGAAACACCCTCTACCACACTCCCAATCACATCACCTCTCTTGTTACTATTTTTAAAATCTCATGTGGGCCCCATGCACTGTAGTAAGAGAGGTGGTGTGGTTGGGAATGTGGTAGAGGGTGTGTCTCTATCGTTATTTAAATAGTAATATTTAGGGTACGTAAATTATATTGAACCGCCGTACGAAACTTTTAGCGTTTTGCAGTAAACCTCCATGTTCTTTCAAAATTGCACTAAACCCCCAATTACTTTTTGGAATTGCTAAAAACGCCAATAACTTTCTGAGTTTTATAGATAACCCTCATGAATTAGAATAAAAAACAACTTAAAAAGATGTTTTGAAAGTTTTTGGGGGTTTATTTTAATTTACCTAAAATATGTTGGGAGTTTAGTGTAAGTTTGAAAGTTTATAGGTGTTTGTTGCAAAATGCTAAAAATTCATGGGGCTTTTTATATTTTGGGCTAAATCTCCGTAAACTTGTCGCAATCATGAGATAACCTCATCATAACGTTCAAAATATGGGTTAGGGGTTATCCAAAAACCCCTATGATTTTAAGATATTATCAAGAAGCCTCCTAAAAACGTGAACCCTTTTTTTTTTTTTTTTTTTTAAAAA